CTCCTGACCCTTGTCACAGGTGACGAAGATTCCAACATCATCGCTGTGGATTCCGGACGCACTGATGGCGGCAAGGCGGCGAGATTTCGCTCGCGAATCCTGTGGTTTCGAAGTCCGATACTTGCTATTGCCAATATTGTCTTTGCGAGGCTTTGAGTCTGATTGTGACTGTGTATTGTCCATCTTAAGCCTTTTGGGTGATCTGCTCATCGATTCATCAGGATGCATGTCCGGGAGAGCCTGAATCTTCGCCGTATCTGTCTAGGAGATTCGTATGACTGACAGGGGTAGGAGACTTCGAGTTTTCAGAGATTTGCGCCGTTGAAGTTCATATAGGATGAAGAGAACGACGGAATTACATATTCTTCGAGGCTGCAAAATGCAAAATGGGCGCTGGCTGATGCCAAAAGCCACTAATCCTCTTCCGGAAGGCGGCGTATTTCTTGTTCTGTGTTCTTGGTCTCCCCCATATTATTCTTTCTCCTCTCCTAGCTTCTATTCTGATAACCACCCTGGACGTCTTTCTCAATGCTAAGTTGCTCCTGCATTGACCGGTCGTCTATCCTTGCTTCGGCCACTGGTCGTCTCACCGTGACACCCGCGTTGAACCGGACAATGGAGCCATTTGTCCAGTGCCGGCCTCGTGATGGCCTGGTTTAAGCGCCTCTCGCGACCGAGGAGGCGACTATGGGGATGGTAGTACAATCCCGTCTCTCCTCTGGTGGCTTTGGAGGCCATGGCCTTGACTCCTTGATTGGTTCGTTCCCTGGCCCATTTCTGGACAAGCTTGTCGAAGCTCTCTCCGTGCGACTATCAATGCTTCAACCCCCTGTTTAGGAGGGCGTGGACCACAGTGTCGCTCTGCATGATGCATATATGGGCACATTTCAAGCAGCAAAAAGCATATTATGATCCATGACAGACCGGCTTTCTCTTCTTCTTCTTATTCTGATCCTCTTTCTTCTTCCTGTGGCTCAATTGCCCCGATGGCGTCCCTTTTTGGCTCGAAGACGCAGGCTGACTCCTCAAAAATGATTGTCAATGGAGGACTTGGTGGACTTGTATGTCCAGAGCCCACGGTTGTACACCAAGTGCAGGAGAAGATGAATAATAACATTGTGTCCAAACTGCGTCGTCGGCCTCCTCCACTGCGAATATCAAGTGGTTCTGATGCTGCATCTTGGTCACCATGTTTGGCTTCAGCACCACCATGCTCTGGGCTTGGAGGACTCTTGACTCCCAAGACTCCCACTGACCGACGTAAATATTCACTACTGGGGTTTGATTTCAGGGATGGGTCTTCACCGTCAACAACACGGTACAACCCTGCCACACCCTTGACACCGGGGTTTTCCCTGCCGGAGATGCCAGCCAGTCCGACATCACTGTATTCACCAACGGCGGCAGAGTTGCCAGGTTCACTTCTGTTGGCAAGCCAAGGTTTCCCGCAGACAAATCCCATATCACCCCCGCCATCTCTTCGACTGCTTCGCCGAGACACTGATGATTCCACGACAAGCTCTGTGCCAACTCTCTCGACCTCCGCATCTAGCGATGACGAAACAATGGAAGCATTGCGAAGCCTGACCACTCCTTTGAGAAAGCACGACCGATCCGTTGGAAGCACGATGCCTCTCTACACCATCGGAAGCCGCGCCCCCTCAAGCCTACAGTCCACACGGCCATTTACTGCCATGACTATCGAGGAGCTGCTGGATAAACTGCCTGAATGCGACCATGTGACCATATCCCAGCGTTGGTTACCCGCTATGCGCAGTCAACTGCAGAAGATGACGGCTCTGCTCAACGAAGCTTGTAACCTGAAACTCGAGTCAAGCGTTGATCAAGTAAACCTGAGTAGTGTAAGAAGCTCGACCTTTGCGACCACCTTTGGCACTGACCTTCCTCAGGCACTCAAATCCTTCTGCGATCAACTGCGCTTGATCACGGCCGAGTACCGCAAAATTGTCGAGTCCGCAGAATCACTTGCTGAACGAGATAACAAGGTCTCTCATGAACAACTGAATGAGCTCGAAGGGCAGGTAGAGGAAGCTTTGGAGAGGATGACGGCCAAGGACAAGGAAATCGAAGACAAAGACCGAAGAATATCAGAACTTCGAAATACCGTTCACGAAGTCACCCGCCTTTTGGGCACGTTCATTCAGAACAATGTCCCTAGCTGGGCGCATACCATCGACGAGCCCAAGACTCTACAAGTTCTTCGAATCATAGCCGACTACACGCGCAACGAGCCTTACGAGTCTGTTGATTACGTTCGCATCGCCGAGGAGACCCTGGATAAATATGTTGGAGATCTGCGCAACGCGCGAAACCTCATCAGAGACTATCGCAAGGTATTGCATGGTCAGGGAGCCATGATCCAAGACCAGTCGAAAAACCTCGACGCATCCGTGGACAGGTACAACAAAGCAGTCAGGCTTGTACAGCAGAAGGATCACGAGCTTTTGCTTCTTGTACAACAGAACGACGATCTAAGCAGAGACTTGCAGGAATGTCGAGCCACACTTGCCGAGAGCCAACAGATGCGGACGGAGTCGGAGAGGATGGAAAGAAGATATGAAGAGCTGCGAGGGACTATGGTCAGCATGCAAACGAGCTATACACTGGAACTTGATCAACGCGATGCCGAGATATCGAATCTTCGTCAAAAACTGGGTAGTGCTCGCGAGGAGGTTTTCGCGCGACGGGAGGATGTCAAGAACGTCATCTCCCAAGCTAACGCGATGCTCCAGCCGCCTACCGATACAGCGGCCATGGCTGCAAAGAACAGCAGCACGTCCAAAGCCTTGAGGTTCTTTGGAATGGAGAGGGACAAAGACAAATACCGCAAGGGCACTCTCCCCACGAGTTACAGCATGATTGGACTCCCATCGGAGGATTCGAGGTTCTCGTCCAAGGAGGTGGCTTCCACGGTCGATCGCGCAGCACTTCGCCACAGACCTTCTTTGCAGACACACGCAAATCCACGGGCATTGACGACACCAAATACACCCATTGATAGCTGTCAGAGCTCGAACGAGACTGTCATGACAGCACCAACGTATCGGCCACGATCTGATTCACTCGGTGCTGTACGTTATGGCGCTCCCACTACATCTTCCATAGATACCGACAAGTCGCTTCCTGACCCCCCAGCGTACCCGAGGCCTCGTCCCCTGGCGGCTCGGGTTGCTGAAATTGCTCCGTCAATCGAGAGCCCCCTCGCGGCACAGATCACATCGGATTACTTCAAGAATGGTATCATGGGACAGACCGCCGCGCGACGCGTGCTCAGCAAAATCACCGAAGTTTCCGATATCAACTCGTCTCCAGACGGTGGCCTCCAGACGGAGCGAGTTCTGGACGAAAACAAATCCGACCACAGTGTCGCCAGCAGCGATCGTGAAGTCTACCGCAAGAGCATCTGTGCGTTGGATATGTTGAACTCATCCAGTGGACTGCCCTATAGCGACACGGAAACTGAAATTGAACGAATCATCCGTGGTGGAGGTCCTACGAGCCCACCGAAGCCTAGCTACTTTCATCCCTACCAAGAATACGAAGCCTGCGACGACGGACGAGGACAGCAGCAGCAGCAAGAAGACGAATATGACGAAGAACAAGTTCACACAGGTGTGGCGCATGTCCTCCACCTTCGACCGGGAACACGGGACCTCAGAGGAGCAAGTGCAAGGTCGAGCGAAGCAGACAGTCGGGAATACGAGAGTGATTCTGGGCGGGAAGGGAGACGGGAGAGACTTAGGGAGAGCATGGTGAGCAACGAGTCGGGCTATCGCACAGAAGACTCGGAACCAAAGACTGTGGCTCAGCTGTATCATCAGGGGAGACGGCATATTCGTGGTTGATGAGCAACTACCGAGTAGACTTGTCGACCAAACGCAAGTGCTTGGGGATGACTTGATGCACGCGGTTGGACGACTGGCTGTCGAAGAATGAGGATCGTGTGGCAGTGCATGAGGGTTGTTCTGGCCTGGCTGGTGGAGTTGGGAACGTTATCACGAGAGCTGAAGATCAAGAGGATTGGCCGACATGGTCATTGATGAGGGCTGGCTGAATCGAGGGTTAACAAGGCTTACAGCCAATCTTGAATAGTTTCTCCCCATAGTAAGCGAGACATCAATCAACAGGGCTGCTTCGCTGCTCAACCTGGCTGGCGGTGCAGCAGAAACCTTTCACACAGTGAGAAAGAACAATTTCACCGAACTCTGACCTCAGATGAGATTACCTTTTCAAAAAGCCGGGACGCTCCATCGAAAAGGGGAGCGGTCCAGAATGGCGAGGGGAGGCACCGCTGAATATTTGATATGGGTATTGACATTGATATTAACGTGGCAACAACGACTTGTATTGTACAGAGTAGGGCCAGCAGGATCGCAGGACCGCAGGACAGTAGTGCGACAGTACAGTAGTGCAGTAGTTCAATAGTTTAATAAGTGCAGAAGTACAGTAGTACAGTAGTATAGAATACAGATCAACCCACCATCGCATCACCAGAGAGTAGTGCAGCGGAGGCTAGAGCAGCAGAATAAGATATGACAGTACCACTCAGAGGGAATGCCGCAGAGAGCCAACGCCCACACCCACGCCCACGCCCAACGCAAAGCAAAACAATGTGAAAGACGAGCGAGGATGCCATTCGTCTTGCTTCCTTCTAGGGGTGGAGTCGACTTTGTTACCAAACATGGGTGGTCCCTTTTCAGACAACATGCTTTCCCCAGCTTGGAGTGGAGTGGCGAGAGACGTGCATGTTGACGGTCTGTCTTTGCCTGGGTTGCCGTCCTTGGCTGGTGCGAAGTCAAGCATCTAGATCCCTACTCCGGCGTCAAGGCGATCTCTCTGTCTCATCCATCTTACATCTCTGTATAGTTCGATCCCTGTGAACCATGTGGCAGGTTTGTCTCCCCTTGTAGGTTGCGGTGGCGCACGAACTACCGGAAGTAGAATGCTCACTTTCAGGGAAAGCCGTGCCCCGTCGAGTCATGCCGTCTGTGGCGGACGTGACACCGGATCCGAAAGTATTGAGTGCAGCGAGAATGAATGCTGGCTTCGACAAAGAGGCGGCATTTGCAGCCATCGCTCCCGGCGCAAAGAGCATGGCGGGAGGATATTCAGTGGGTGCGTTGAAGAAGATGTTGTGGATAGTGTGGTCTGAAGGCACATAAACATGGTCATTCGCTCAAGATGACAGGGCTTGTAACTTCCTGTAGGCGTTGCTGGTGCCAGGAGGGTGTGAGGCATTGATCAGGGGTCATAGACAAGGCCGAAATCCATCTAGGGATCAATCCCATCGGTAAGGACTTCAAAAATACCCTTCCGGGAGAGACCGACAGCCGCGCAGAATGTCAAGCGACACAATGATTCAAGTGGTAGGCCTTGTTTGTTGACTTCAGGCGTCCCTTTTGTGAATTCTGACGGCCAAACTCTATCCAATCTCTTGTAAATGACTTCTTGATGGTCCTTAAATCTCTCTGCGTTGAGGCTGCCATGGCCTATCGGACCTGACTACCATCAACCACTGCTTCGTGCTTCATGGACGCCTCACGCCCATGTCTAGGATGCAGGGTTTGCATTTCTATCTCATTTTCCTTGCGACCGATAGCATTGCGCCTGGCGGTGGGGTTGGCAATGGTAAGGCTCTCAGATAAGCTTCGGATCTGTGGCTGCACGACGCGTGAGATGTTGTGGTAGCCATTCTGAGGGAGTTGGATGAGGAGATTGTGCAGGCAGGAAAGAACCATGGTTGTGAAGCGGCCCATAGTTGCGGATCGCGCGTCCGATTTTGAGAGGTACAGAGGCACGGCTTGGTTCCCAGGATCAATGAGGAGATGTGACAAGGTCTGATAACCGGAGGGCGTTGTCGTGGGCGGTAAATGCAATACGCAAGTTAATCCCAACGCTGAAAAATGAGAACGGTGATGAATATGCAAGTTGGAGATCTGCGCATGCACTGTGATGTAGTAGAAGCGTCTCAGGGAAGTGGCTTCTCGGTAGATGCGGCAATGCCTGTAGCCGCTGAGTAGAGTGTGACGGCGTTGATAAAGGTGACAGGGGTAGAGCGATCCAACCTCGACGATGGGGAGAATATACGAGACACTTGGTACGAGGTGGTGTTTAGTGTATCTTCACATGTCTGTCTTGATAAAAAGACAGCACACCATACTGCTCAGTCAGTAATTTGTCTAGAGGAAGAGGAGGGACAACAAGTGGATATGGCGATAAGGCACAGACGGGGGATGTTTACGAGGTATTGTTCTTGGTACGGGTTGTTTGTGGCGGTAAATGCGGAGGAATCGGGGAAGAATCCACAGTTGGAAGTAAGAAAGTCTGAAAGTGTATCTCGTGCCCTCGTATTATTATTATGCATCTCCCCGTGCTCCCCCTCAATGTCTCCGTGCGGAAAACGTTTCCGCCCTCCGTTCACCCACTCATCCACTCACCCATTGTCCCAATGTAACCACCGGCCAAACAAATGATAACCGCTTCATATCTTCATTGACCAAGCACAACTTTCCCGTCCCAGTATACCTCCTCGTACCAGTGTCATGGCTGCCGATATTCCAACCTGCAGGTGGGGAATAGTATGTATGCCACCACTACTCCCATGCTCTTTATGAAGTGGCACTATTAACAGCCACTACAGCGACCGGTCTCATTTCTTCCTGGTTCGTTGAAGACTTGGTCCTCCACCGACCCGATGCCAAAGCAAAACATGTCATCCAATGCATCGGATCCTCATCGATGCAGAAGGGTCAAGACTTCGCCGCAAAACATTGCCCAAATGCAACCCCCACCATCTATGCTTCGTATGATCAAGTCTACTCGGACCCAGACGTGGATTGTGTCTATATAGGAACTCCACACTCCTTTCATAAAAGCAACTGCCTCGACGCCATTGCCGCCGGGAAGAACGTTCTGTGTGAGAAGTCGTTCACCATCAACGCCCGCGAGGCACGAGAGGTGCTCGATGCTGCTGAGAAGAAAGATGTTTACGTCCACGAGGCGATGTGGCTACGGCATCGACCTTTGGTGGCAGACCTGAGGAAGCTCCTATTCAAAGATAATGTCATTGGGGATATCTTCCGTATGTCCTCTGACTTCAGCTTACTGGTGCACATCCCTAGTTTGCCAGACACCTCGCGATACAAAGATCTTAAGCTTGGTGCCGGAACGTTGCTAGATACTGGCATCTACCCGCTGACATGGGCGTTCCTGGTATTGGATCCCAACACCCCCGAAAACTCCGAAAGGCCGGCAATCCTTGCAACACAAAGCCATCTCCACGGAGTCGAAGTCACTTCGAGTATCCTGGTACAATACCCATCGACGGGAAGACAGGGGATCGTCAGCTCCACCACCATGTCGGGCGGGCTTGGCGAAGCCATTTGCCGCATTCAAGGCACCGAAGGCTACATCGACGTACATGGCGCAGCGCCATCGCATCCTTTGTCCTTTACAGTCCATCGACGGAAAGAGGACAACAAACATGACTTTGAAAGCAAAACATATGACTATCCTCGTGTCGGGCGGGGGTTTTTCTACGAGGCGGACAACACCGCCCTTGACATTGCGGCTGGCCGGAAAGAGAGCGCCATCATGCCTTGGAAAGAGACTATCCGCGTCATGGAGATTATGGACGAGATCCGAAGGCAGGGAGGAACGAAATACCCTCAGGATGAAGTGACGAAGGGATGATGACCATTGGGTCGTCAGCCTCGTGATGGCTCCAGCCTTGTGACCACCTCAGCCTCGCTGACGTCATATTCAGGGGGACGGAACGCGTGGTTCGCGATTCCCCGAGCCCCCAACCTTCATTCCTCGAACAAGCTCTCCTTCAATATCAGACTGTGGCCTTTTATATACCGAGAATATATCAACAAGGGCTGCCCTCGCTCGCTTATTCTTATTCTACAACTGACCGCTCAACTCCACAATGACCTCCTTCTATCAACTGCTGTCTCAAGTGCCCGTCCTGTCCTCGTTTCTACTTCCCGCTCCTCTCACAACAACCGACAGCGTCAGTCAAAACACCCTTTCATCTTCAACTTTCGACCCCTCGGTCTGCCCCAACCCCCCGTCCCTATCATGTCCGTCCCCCCCAGCGCAAGATGTAAACACATGCTGTGTGAACCACCCGTCAGGACACTTCCTGCAGACCCAGTTCTGGGACACGGAGCCACCCATCGGGCCCAACAACTCTTGGACCATTCATGGCCTCTGGCCAGATCTCTGCACGGGAGGGTTTGACGCGTTCTGCGATTCTTCGCGCTCGCATTCCGATATTCGGACCGTCCTCCGCCACGCCCTAGAGGGCCAGGACGGTGCGGGCGAGGCGCACGACGGAAATCATGAAGCCATGGTCGACGAACTGCTCTCGTTTATGGAGACGTACTGGCTCTCCCTCAACGGCGACCACGAACACCTGTGGGCGCATGAGTGGAACAAGCACGGCACCTGCATCTCGACCCTCGAGCCGGACTGCTACGGGGCTCCTCCGCCGACACCAAACCGCCAGCACCGCCACCTCGACGTGCTGGATTACTTCATCCACACGACCTCCCTCTTCAAAACGCTCGACACGTACTCCATACTTGCGGAGGCCGGCATCCTTCCCTCGTCCCAGAAGCGATACACGCTTCAGGAGCTGGAGACGGCCGTCGAGTCCTCTCCACACGGCCAGCCGGTGACATTCCGCTGCAACCGCCGCGGCGAGCTGGATGAAGTATGGTACCATTTCGCGGTGATGGGCTCGCTGAGACATACATCTTACGACCTGGAGGACGGCGAAGCGGGATCCGAGGCCAAAGCCATCATGATGTCTCCCCGAGAAGACCAAGGGCGCGACATATCCTCCTCCTCCTCTTCACCTTCTAACCTCTCTCACTCGCCGTTCCTAAACACCACCACCGTGCGCAAAAGCTTCGTGCCTGTCCCGCCCGACGGAGGGCTCTCAAACTGCCCGAGACGCGGGATCAAATACCTTCACAAGACGCCTGGTAACGACGAGGCGCCACTCCCGCTCCCACCCCCCTCTCCCACAAAGACTACCACTATCGGTGCTGGACCCACAAGCACCACCACCCCCTTCACAGGAAAAGGCCACCTCGAAATCCACGTGCTCGACGCCACGCCCACATCTCAGACCGAGTCCGAGACCACCGCCATGAAAAGGGGCTGCCTCATCCGCCAGGGCCAGTGGTACGTCTCGGGCACGTGCGCGACCTTCCGCGCCCAGCACGACGTCGTCGACCCGGGCCACCAGGCCTTGTTCTCCCTCTCGTCGTTGTACTCGCCGTGTCTGGTGAATCCGGCCACCGGCAGATTCGAGTGTGCAAACTCTGCAAAGGTTCAGGGCATCTTTTCTTACGCCGACAATGGGCATGGCGCCAACGTGCTCGCATATCACAACCACAGCGTCTTCTACGCACACACCACTCCAAAGAGGTTTGAAAAGGTGGATCTGTTTGCTGATGATGGAAATGGCGCGAGGAAAGTCCAGGTGGAGATCCACTGGGTACCAGCATAGTTCTGGCGTCCGGCATACAGGTGTCTAAACAAGTCGCCCTATCCACTATTCCTATTGACTGGAATGTTTAGGTGCAGCATTATTACATGCTTTGCCCATCTCATGGCGCCCTTCGCCAATATACTCTTCACTTGCTCCCGCTTCTCGGCGGCAACAAGTCGTCGCTACTTCCAGGCCAACTCATCCCACTGACTCGGCGTCCCATCTTCTTGACCTCTCGCATTCCGGCTCCGAATAGGGTCTTGACCCTCTCTCCGCTGATCTGTCTCTCAGTCTTACGCCGTGATTTGACGATCTTCTCTTGCCCACCTCCAGGCACCTCGACCAGCTCCACTCGTGATGGCAAGGTGTTATTTGCCGCCTTTGGAGGCGGGCGAACATGTCCACTCTCGAGCATTGCCACACTCAAAGAGTCTGTCACTTCTCCCGAGGCATCGACTTTGCAACAGGAAGAGAAGAACTGAGGCTGAACAGATCCTGAGATTTGCACAGCCATTGGGGATGGTACTGGATCCTTACTCCGGCCTCGACTCCTGAAAACACTTACAGAAGGCATTTGTGGGTTTGAAAGTCGGTGCGCTTCGGCTGCTCTGCGAGAGGCACGCTCCTCTCGCTCCTTCATAGCCTTTGCTCGAGTCTCGGGAGAACACTCAAAGTAGGATGTTCGACGACGATGTGAAGTGAGCTGGACAGTATTCGACTTCGGCAAAGACTTGCCCTCAATAACATGCTGTCTCTTTGGTATGAGAGGAATGAGAGATGCCAAATTGCCTGTGGTCTTGCTTTTCGCCATAGTGCCTTCGCCGTAGAACGCTTTGGAAGTTTCGGTCAACACGGCCTCAGCATTGACGCTTGATACTCTGCTGGTTGGTGTCGAGGCATGTCCAGGAGAGGTTGACATGTTCAACGAGAATGGTTTGAAACCATTTGACCCCGACATGCCCAGCCGCCGTTCCACTTCTTTACCTGCAAACGCGAGACTTCCGGCTCGGTGGAGGCTTTGACGCGAAACTCCTAGCTTTTTGAGGAGGATATTCTCAAAGTCTTCAAAGCTCTTCAAGGCTTCTTTCGTCTTGCAATGCTCTCTGAGCTCATTGAGCGCACTGTTCATACGCACCTTCTCGCTATTTTCGAAAAGACGGTCAGCCTTCTTTTCGGTCGACCCTGCGGGCGATTGAGGTGGTCTGTTCAGCTCCTTCATGCGAAGTCGGTCACAGAGAGACATATATCGGCCAGTCCAGTACGATGCGTCCTCTGCGGCGTACACCTGTCTGAGGGTTAACAACGCTCGACGGCGATAACATACTTGACCGTCTCTCACATGTCTTGCATCAATGTCCGAAATCTGGCTCGGGCTCGAGCTCGTGACGCTTCCAATACTGGTTGTCATTGTTGTCGAAGTTGGAATGTCACTGTCTCGCCAGTTTATATTCGCTAAAGTGGAATTGATGAACAAAAGCCGACCAGATGATGACGTCCTCTTCATGCTTTCCAGACGTTGTGTATTGGCAACATCGTTCAGTGACAGCTTCAGAGTTGGTGCAGGTTCAGCCGTGCTCCTTACTGGAGGATTTCGGTATTGACAAGCATTTCTAAGTCGAGCGCGATTGACTGCCGCTTCTCTCTGAACTTGTATCATTAAGTCCATCTCTTTCTCTGTCATCCTACTTTCGTTCAATGCGTCGGCGACATTAAGCTGACTTACATTATCATGATGCTGTTCTGAGGAGGACAGTGAGACAGAGATTGGCTTTCTTGGAGATGGCGTTTGATGTGTCGGAGCGAAGCATGAGATATTGCCTAGAGTTTGTGTTCGCGGCAGAGGTGGGTCGAGGGGTTGAAGGAGGCGTCGTCTAGTGATTATCTCGCGAGGTGAAGACAGGAGGCTTCCCATCGTCTTGGACTTTGGCAGTGCAGTAGTGCTGGATACCTGCTTGAGATGATACGGAGCGACAACAGCTTCATGACTGCTCAAGGAGTGCGTGGACATGTTTCGGATATAGAGCTGTTGTCGGGTTCCAGACAGATCATGATGGGACCGTTGCTTGTACGGAACTAAGGACTCTTTATTGGGCGTCGGTGCCTCAGCCTGGGCCATCCGGAACGAGCTCGGTGGAAGAAAGTCATCACGATGCCATGATTTCCGGTGCATGTAAGGAATTCTGGGGAGACTTGTCACTGCTGCCGAGCCCCTTCTATCTGCTCGAGCAGCTACGGGCGTTGCCTGGCGTGAAGTGCCAGATTTCGGCCGTGGGATGGCCGAGACTGAAGAGTGACGGCTGCGTGCACTGAGAGAAGCAGGATCAGGTTTAGGTGGCATTTTGAGCCGCGGCGAAATGAGAGGACAAAACGGTGAGCGTCGCACTCGCTTCACTGGTGATCGAAAGAAATGCAAGCTGGAATGATGAGGGAGTGGCTCACAGAAACTGTGAGAGGAGAGAAGACAGCTACCATCAGAGTACCGACCCATGTCGGAGATGAAGGCAGTCTCGATGCCTCGCTTGCAATACGGTCTGAAAGCTTCACGTCTTGAGGCAAGAGCGACGTGCAAGTGATGGTATTGAGGAAGGCTCGATCTGAGAACCAACCAAGAAGAAGAATAGTCTGCGTTGGAAAAACAATCCATGATGATGCTGGACCCAGAATCAAGGACCACGACACGCACTCCTCCTATCTGCCAGACCTTCTTTTATTACCAATAATCAATCACAACACCTCAACTGCCTGGATTCTCAGCCTTGCGCAACTCGAGCAAGGCTGACCACATGCACACCCGGATTTGGATTCCGGCCTCAAGGGGCTCAGCGCCACAGCGACTTCTACATGACATCAACCAATGACATCACAACTATTCAACGAAATCCGAGTACAAAACCTCAAGGAGAATATGATCTGGTCTTTTCTAATGCAATACCATCATCACACGCAACTTGTCTTCTGGAAACCCTTCCGACAAAAGAATCACACCAAGACACCTCCTACCTAGCAGCCATGTCTGAGCAATACAAGGGGCAAGACCTCATGGATATTGCCAAACAAGCCGAACGAGATCTCGCATCGGCCAAATCCAAGCACGGTGCGCAAGACAGCGGCTTTGGAGGCAAAACGGTCCCTGGAGGGAGCGACAGCAGTATGTATAGAAACTTTCCCACATCTGCTCCTATTGCACCGCACGCTGATCAAACCCTTGCCACACATAGCAACCGAATCTGGCATCGATCAATCAGTAACCAACAAATTTCCCGGCAGCACTGCTGAATACGGAAGCAAAGTCTCGGGTGCTGGTGACAACCGAGAGATTCCCGTCGAAGAGGGCGGTGGTATACAGAAAGGCACAGGGCGGCCGACCAAGGCTGGTGATTTTGAAAAGGGCGCCGCTGGTGAGGGCCCCGAGGATGTAAGCAGGCAATACGCGGAACAGTACGGTGGTAATGATGATGTGAGGAGTAATATCAAGAATGCAACAGCATGAACGACCTCGAGTGCATTGAGGCCGGCATGGAAGTGGAAAATATATATGGTATACAAATTTTACATGTGATTGAGGAATAGCCTTCTGCAAGTCTCTCAAACCTGGGGATTAGACATCCCAGAAACTACCTTTCCCTTCATTCTCGTCCTTCCGATTAACCGTCAATGAATATTTATCCACAACAGCCTTTTCCAGCATTTCCCTCAGCATTGACTCCCGAACACCACGCTCACACTGACTTTAGCAGACAGAGCAGACCGGCCCCACGTCGGCTTCAAATCTCACAGTGTTTGTACAGTCTGGAAGAAGGGATTGCTCATCAACTTCTCGTCACCCTTGACCATTTCTCTCATCAGCCGTAACTTGTCGTCCTTAGTCATGTCCTTGCCTTCGACCTGCTCTTTCCATTTCTGCAGCATAGCCTTCAACAGTTGGCTGGCTTCGTCCGCATCTTCCTTTGACCACTCGTTCTGCTTTTGTTCGCTGGTGGCACTCGTAAAGTCTTCCAACTCCTCGGCCTTTCGTCTCGCCATGCTGACCACCTTCTCTGGAAACCGCACAAGCTCGGCGACGTGAATGCCAAAGCTTTGGTCACTTATGCCGGGTTCAACTCTATACAACAAGGTGACCTCCCTTCGTTTACTCGAAGCGGACTCACCCTCGCCATTGGTCATGGCGACATCCTTATCCTGATCACCCACAAATGCCACAACATGGAGATTTTTGACCGCATTCGGGAACTTGTCTGCTAAAGCGGTCAATTCATGGAAATGAGTGGCAAAGCACCCAAAGGCGCCGATCTGCCCGACTATTTCTTCACTGATGGCCCACGCGAGACCGAAGCCGTCATATGTGCTCGTGCCTCGGCCGAGCTCGTCGATAATGATCAACGAGTCTCTGGTGGCACTTTTCAGGATGTTTGCGGTTTCCAACATTTCCGCCATAAACGTCGAGACACCCTTGAGTTGAGAATCTGATGCTCCTACACGAGCGAGGATGCAGTCAAATATCGTCAGTTCTGCTTCTGTGCAGGGCACGAAGCTGCCGATCTGGGCCATCAGAGCAATACAACCGATCGTGCGAATGTACGTCGATTTACCGCCCATGTTTGGACCTGTGATGATGAGAAACCGGGAGCTGTCTCGCCTCAATTCGACGTCATTGGTGATGAAGTTGATGTCGTCCTGAGCTTCCATACAAGGGTGGCGCGCTTCTTTCAAGACAGTATCCCCCGTGCCCCGTCTATGCATCTTCGGCCGGACGTAGGCTGTGGGAGCATGGACGGAAGCATGGGCCAGACTGACCACCACGTCCAGGTGAGCGATGATAGCAGCAAGCTGCTCAATAACTGGAGTGTACGAAGAAGCCACTTGAACAACTTCTGATACCAGTGACGACTGTTTTCGGTTGTAAGATCCGGAGAGCTGATCGTGCTCTCTCCTCAACTCCGAAAGTTCGTTCGTCGTAAAGTAGACGCCGTTCTTTTGCGTTGATATTTCCTTGTAATCCTTCTTGTTCCGTATACAACCTGCTTCGTTACGCGTAAGCCGGAAACAGTGCCCATGTACTCTGTGATTCTCCAGAAAGAGCTTCTTGTCAAGCTCTTGACTGAGATCTTTGCCCACTCGACGGTGCTCGACCTCCATGGCGTGCTGTACTTTATCGAGCTTGGCTCGAATCACCTTGAGTTGCTCATCAAATTCCGGTTTGATAATGAATTCATGGCGATCGAGGGCCTCGAGATCCACGGTGGTCTCAACCATTTCGGCCAATTTCCCAAGAAAGCTCGATAATTCTTTCAGTTTTGAGGTATACTGTGTCTCCAGTGGTACTTGATACTGTTCGTCGACGACTGTTTCGAGCGCCTCGATGAAGCCTGGGAGCCGGATAACAACCTGATACGCCCGAACCACATCCTCTAGATTTGCATGCTTGCGCTGAAATTTCTTCGCCAGTCGATATAGGTCAGGAATTGAGCGCAGGTGTTCTTCTTGCATGGTTTGACGAAGTTCAGTGTCGGTGACAAAAGCTTCCACTAGTTGCTGCCTCTTCTCGATTTCCGCAAGATTCATCAGCGGTTGTTTGAGCCACTGTGCAAGTAGGCGGCCTCCAATCGGGGTTTTACAGTGGTTAAGCAGCCCAAACAAGCTCATGCTTTTCGCGCCGTCTCGTGGACCCGGCATGAGGTTCAGAGCTCTGAGCGCTGCTGCATCCAGTTTCATGTACTGACCCAGGTCGTGCTGATAAAGCCGGTATTGCCCGAAATTGCTGGGGTCTGTCATGACGCCCAGATACTTGATCAATGCAGCAGCACTACCCATTGCGAGCTTAAGTTCTGTCTGGGGTAGAAGTCCCACAGCATTTTCGCCCTTCAGGAGTCTTGCCAGGTCTTGTTCGATATCCTTCGTTCCCCAATCGGCTGCAGACCTCTCCGAAATGGCAATGCCACAAGAATCGGCAATCTGCTGTATCTTTGCTAGTTCGGGATCCTGTTTCTGGAGACTTCCCGCCACGATACACTCTTTCACGCCCAACTGGATAAGAAGGCTTTCGAGATTGGAATAGAGGTCGTTGTCCAAGAATTCACTGACACCGAGTTCTCTGACGCTGGCGTCTGCAAAGCACACGCCGACACTTCGGGCCTCGCCAGCCTTTGCACTGACTCTGACAGCCAGGATGATGGGTGCGCCATCACCCTGACTATCCATCCCCGAACCCAGCTCTTCCTCAACTGCCTGCAGGTTTCCAGGGCTAGCTTGACGGGCCAGTTTCCACTGACCTTTACCACTGGTCTCCCAGATCTCCACTCTTTTGCCTAGCTTGAATAGCGCTTCTCGAAGGAGGTTGCGGAAAACCGTAGTCGACATTGTGACACTGGGCAAAACATTTTCGCTTCGACCGAGGTTTCTAATAACAGCGGTTGTCTTGTAGACAGTCCGAGCGATAAATTCCGCATCTTCTCCATGCGCCGAGTACCAGTCGACTCGATCAAAGACACGAATAGTATTGTTGCCGTCCGGTTTCGCTGGGAGAGATCGAAACAAACGAATGAATCCAGTCTCGTCATCAACCTTTGTATTTGTTCTTAGCAAGTTTGCATTTTGGACGCGGAAGAGATATCATACCTTGAGCTCGGGTCTGGAAGCCATGTTGTCTTTGCTGGGACTGGTGAGTGATGGCGACGTTGGCTGTTGGATTGTGAACTTCCATGGAGACTTTTTGGAAACCCACTTCACTTCAACGCGATTTACGCGTCGACACGAAAACTTGGCACTGACCGCACGCGAGTTTGGGCTTCCCCGCATGTTGCTTACCTATAATAGTGGCTGTTGCTCTGTCTTTGGTGCCCAGTGCCTGGCTAGGCGCTCTCCCTGTGAAGCCTCCGCCTAACCTCACACCCTCGTCCGCCAACAGATCATGCCCCCCAGTCAGATAACCTGTCAAGCCTGTATCTTGATCATGAGGCTGTTTCAGGGTCCCCAGAATTGGCCAAGGACCACAATCCTGTTTCTTCATCCTTCTTTTGGGGTTCAAACCTCTCAAAGGTCTCAAATCAGACGTAGATCACCGTCTACACAATGCTGGTGACCCTCCTGTGCCAGCTTCGGATCATCTTTGCTAAAGCTGACTGTCTACTCGTGTCCTCTCTTTCCTGCTGACCCTTCCATACCCTCCTGCTACCTGTGTCCATGACCAGGCTCGTGCCTTCCTGCGGCGTGCCAGAGGCCTTGTTGCTCCTTCTCTGGTCAACCAGCTGCCATGAGGTTGCCTTCTTCTTCGTCTTCGTCTTTGTGTGGTTTTTCTTCTTCGCCCATTTCAACCATTCCCCATCACAGGCCAGTCCAGCCGCTTATTTTGTATTTGGCACGTTATTGTTATCGTTCTCCTTTGTCACGAGCTTGGCTCATCCCGCAGTCACTCGGACGAAATATCCACAGGACCTTTTCCATCATGCCGAAAGGAAAGGACAAATCAATTATGGACTTCACTGGTCAAAAGGTCAACGAATCCCCTCTCGAGGCTCAATCTCGCAAAGATGCCAATTTCGAAGACATCGAGGCCAAATTACCCAAACGCTGGAGCAAGACTGAGATGAGCTTCATTGATAAAGGCACCAGTATGTAAGAACCCCAAGTATCGAGGTGAGCAGCCACTGACGCAAAGTAGGCCTCTTGGGTTCGAAGAACCCCTTCGGCAAGAAAGCGGACCCTAAGGACAACATAGTATGGCTCCTGGACAATACAGCATACAAACCGATCAAGCCCGGAAAAGAAGTGACCCAGCCATGGCAAGCCGAATTCGTGGCTTGCTTCTTCCGTGAAGGTCGAAAAGACTTGACCAAATATGTTAGCTCCATTGCCGACTTGGTTGGGCTGGATGGCAAAGCTGGCGTTGACGACGCGGCCAGAAAGAGGATCGAAGAGCGCATCAAGCCCTTTGTCATGGCCATTGCTCCAGCCCGCACAATTCAGATTAAGATTCCCTGCCCAGGCCCGACAGATATCCCTCACAAACGTGTTCTCGGACCCTCCAACCTCAATGGAATCAGCAGTCAGACCTTACTCACCGGTGGTGCCGATGATGCTGACGGAAAAACGGTGGTCTGCACAAGCGAGGGCGACATCTTCCCCAGTCTAAAATGCAACACACGATTTATCGGTCCCGAGGGTTGGGGCGTCATTTCAGATATCGATGATACAGTAAAAGTGACAATGACCCCGAGTCCCACGGGTATTCTGCAATCCACCTTTGCCGACGTTCCCAAGACGACCCCAGGAATGCCCGAGTTCTACAAGGTCCTTGATGAGTCTCTGAAATCTCCGGCTTGGTTCTACCTGTCGGCTTCTCCATATAATCTGTATCCCTTCCTCCATGACTTCCTCGATGGCAACTACCCTCCGGGGACTCTCATCCTGCGAGATGCCTCGTGGATGTATTTGGGCGGTCTCTTGCAATCTCTCACTCAAGGTGTGAAAGAATACAAGACTGATCGCATCGACAAGATCCAATCTTGGCTTCCGAACCGCAAGTTTATCTGCATCGGTGATTCGACGCAATCGGACCCTGAGGCGTACGCTGCCATGTACGCCAAATATCCTGATTGGATCAAGGCAATCTACATCCGCAAGGTCGTTGAAGCACCTCATATGGAGACCAAGAACAAGAACGAAAGATTTATTGATGCATTCAAGGATGTTCCTGACCAGGTGTGGAGGGTTTTTGTGGACCCGAAAGAATTAGCGGATCACTTCAAACATGTCGCTGGTGTTGCACATGCGGGTGTGGTTGGCAACATGCTCGGTCTATAGTGCCAGACCGAGCATGCGAAACGAACCCCTTCGAGATCACAAGCGCAAACACCCCAGTCCCGCACTCCGGAGGCCAGAACACCGCTCCGCTCGCCGAGCCCAGCGCCGAAGACCTCCTCCTAAGGTAGCGAGAGTAAGAACACTAGGCATTGCTGACCTTCAACGCAACCTACGAATGACGCCGACTTTGGGCCGACATGGGGCGACTCGATGGTGGGGGTTTACAACGAGACAACACTTTCCCTAAGAATCAAACTTGAACATACTGGATGAAGACTGCGGCGTTGCTGGATTGGTGTATTGGTGCCCATGAGTGAGAGGATGTGACGAATTCCCTAGAAGCCTGGTGAAGTCTAGATACATACACAAGTAACATTCAATCAAGGAGATTCGATCGATGAATAACTAAACCCCATTGCACTATCTTACCTTGGTATCGATCCGTGAACACTGCCCTGTACAACGACAATCATCATTACCACCAATCTGGAAAGTTTTATGCGCGTCCGTGGAGTATCACCGAAGGCGCCAGGTACGAACAAGCAGCTGTCCGATTCAAGATGGGACGCCTTGTTCTTGACTCTCTCAACATCATCGGCAGTTTCCGTCCCGTCGATGTCAAGGTTTTCTGGAATACGCATTCGCAAGGGCCCAAGGTTACATTGCTTGACACATTCCCGGGCACAGAGAGCCTCTCTGAGTTGTAAACTGCGCAGAGATAGGACCTATGGGCAATCATGGCCGCGAGTACACCACCATCAGCACCATGGAGATAGGATATGCCGGATGCCTGAAGGCGACACTGCCATGGTTTCATCACTCCACCTACAAGACTCAAAGAACCTCTAGCTCGAGGCTGCGGGGCCGTTGGCTTGGGCAAAGCTTGACAATGCTTGTGTGACAGTCAAGCGACTACACATTCGGATTAGACGCTTCATTCTGTCGATGATCCCAGCCAACTCGGTTCGCCATCGAACTTGTTCATTGGGCATCATGGTTTATCCATATCCACACCACCAGCTGGATGCATTGCTCGCACCACCGCGAGGTGAGGTAGTATTGATCGCTACTGGAATGGCCTTGCTCGTGTGACTCGACGCCGAGGTATGCGCCCTCGCGTGGCAGCTTTTGATGTAAGTACGGCGGTCTGTCCTGTCTCCTCGTCCGTTTCCTTCCTTCTCCCTGTATGTGAGTGCTCGCGCTTGTAAGAGACTACCTACCAAACTCCTAGGGTTCAATTTGGCTGGTGTCATACAGATACTGTGCTGGATTCTTCAGTTCCATCGCCATGTCTTTAGCAGACGCAAAGGATGGTGGGTTGCCTGTCAACCCCAGCCGACCTGAGACCTACATCAGTCCGTCACAGCGGAAGCTTTACGATCCTGGTGTGACTTTCGAGGAATACGTGCACTACGCCAACCGCACCAGGGAAGAGGAGAAAGTCCAGCAACATATTACTGATGGAGGCATCATGCAGCAAGTTTTCAGGAGGAAATCCTCAGTCACAGCGGAAGGAGTGCCAGTCAACAACGGTAGTGACACAACTGCTGAAAAGGAAAACACTGAAAAATCTGTGCTGCCTGGGACAGACGGTCACGACAGTCAAGAGCCCACCCGGCCACGACGCAGAAGCATCTTGTCCAGACACAGCCTGGTCACTGAAGAGGAATGGCGAAATGCATCCCGGGCATTGAGGACCGCCAGTTGGGGAGCCGGCTTCTATCTCATCACTACAGATATCCTAGGTCCTTATGGTGTTGGATTTGCTCTAGGAACCCTCGGCTGGGGTCCGGGGGTCGCTCTCTATACGGTCTTCGCCTTCATGGCTGGATACTCTGGCTATCTTCTGTGGCAAGTCTATCTCGGCCTCGACTCGTATGAATATCCCCTCCGCAACTACGGAGATCTGGCTTACCGCACCATGGGCACAACTGCGCGATATGTGGTGAACATTCTCCAATCGATCCAGCTACTCCTCATCACAGGTCAAGTTATCATCCAAAACGGCCAGGGTATCTCGCAGACATCCAAGTTCAGGCTCTGCTATGTCGTCTGCGTCGTCTTGTTCGTTATTGCGGGCTTCTTCATGGGCCAGGTCCGTACCCTGCGAAACTTTGGCGTCTTCTCCATGGTCGCCGTGGGCCTCAACTTGCTGGTGATATTCATCTCCATGGGTGTCATGGCTCACTCGCCACCGAATTATGCTATCAGCGTCCTTGGCTCCGCTGGCTCAGCCGTCAATCCCGCCACCATCGCACCAGACGAAAACGGCGTCTACCCATCCATCATCCACTATGGGGGTCTCCCAGACTCGAGCAACTTCGTCGGCGCCATCAACGGCCTGATGAGCGGTGTGTTCGCGTACGGCGGGGCGCAACTCTTCGTCGAAATCATGGCTGAGATGCGTCGCCCATGGGACTTCATCAAAGCCATGTGGGCGGCACAATTCTTCATCTATGCCGTCTACCTCATCTATGGCTGCTATGTGTACCATTACCAAGGCCAGTACAGCTTTACCATCGCCTACATGGGTCTTTCTCCCTACGGATTCCAAGCGGCCTGCGACATGTTGGTCGTGATTTCAGGGTTGATCGCAGCGGGATTGTATGGCAATATTGGAATCAAGGTGCTCTATAATCAAGTTCTGCAGGAATTGTTCAATGCGCCACCCTTGACATCCAAGCCGGGGAAATATCTCTTTAGTGCGATTGTACCGGTGTACTGGTCTGTGGCCTTTATCGTCGCGGCGGCTATTCCAGTGAGTGTCCTCCCTCTGGTCAGATACAACGTTTTCTTGCACTCCCTAACACATGAGATTAGGACTACTTTGGCTTCGTCTCCGTTATTGCAGCCTTTTGCATTGTGCAATTCAGTTACTCGTTCCCACCCATCATCCACCTTGCCTACACCATGCAAAGGAACTCGATGACACCGGGCGACGGTTTCAATGAACAGACAGGTCAAACTGTCCGGAGCGAGCATGGTATAAAGAGGTTGATTAAGGGATTCTTCGCGGACAAATGGTACATCAATGTGTGGCACATTATTCACGCAGGCGGAGCGTTGGCGACGGCGGGATTGGGCGCGTACGCGGCCATCGAAGGCATGATTGAGGCATTCAAGAATCCTCAGGTGAATTCTTTTACATGTACAAGTCCGCTGGATTTGTCGGCCGCTTAGGTACGAGGAGAATGAGGAGAGGATGCTGGGTTCGGTTTCTTTTTTGTGAGAGTTAAGGTGGTGAGATGCAGCAAACACAATAGCAGTGGTTGGGTATTTGAATTCCCAATGACTTGCTTGGTGTATGGGATTCCTGTTTTACCTGCGCTGCGCACCTCCCGCCCTTGTGTCATCTCCTGCAAATAATCTTGATTCCTTCCTCGTCATGTCTTTCGGGGGACTCGGCCTTTTTATCGTCCGCAGATCTCGCGCGTCTCACGAAGATGACAGGAGAGAAAGGCATCGTAGTCTTTATGAGGCGAGCTCAGTTTGATCAGTGCACCAGATCATGTTCGGTCAAGCGCTGGTTACGTGGGCACGGATGATCGCGCAAATTGAGCGAAGGAGGTCGCAGTGGTCTGTGTCAGCCTTGGATATCCGAGACGCGTCATCAAGAAAACAGCAAACCGGTGAATAGACAGTCAGGCAGTGCATCCGACTTCTAAAGCGTAATGCAATGCCATGAGACATGAGAGATAGCTCAGAGAAGAACTGGTGTGCGTTAGAGGAGGCCAAGTCAAGCTCGCCCAGAGTTTGTGGGACTGCGCAATCAAGCCTCTAGGCTGGGGCACAAGCCAAGGCCCACGTTCTATAAGAGCTGCTAAGCTTTTCTCTTGGGCACCAAATGCGTGAAGCTTTTACGGAGTAAGTAGGCGAACCGTGAAGCCCCTCCCCCTCCAAACTGCGTTCTCTTGCCAGCTGCTCGAGTTTATACGCTGCGAAAGACTGTGGGCGGACTGCGCGTCCTCTCTCCACGTCGAGGCGGAGTAGTAATAATGCAGGGACGAGGGCCAGGAGGGACTGGGGTTCGTCTAGCGCTCAGGTTCTGCTGTGTCATAGTATCGTTATTATTGGCAGAAACACGGCGTAGTAGAGGACGTTAGCCGGAGCCAATGTACCGACAGTTGTTCAATATTAAACAGTTGAGGCAGTGCTCGAGACGCAATCTCGCGAGGACACGCTTCGGCATCGGTGGAGCCCATGTTGCGCTGAAGGATGGACAATGGCCACCAAACGGGGTGGAGGTCAAGTTTTGAGACACGGTCGCTCGGCTCAAACTGGGAATCGTTTGACGCATGATCCAAAACATTTGCGTAGGCCAGTTTTTTTTAGGGGGTCAGGGATCGATCGACTGGGGCTATCTTTCTTTGTCGCCCTTTCGAACTCTCACTCTCTTGTCTTATCCAAACAATCTCGACGCACCGCAACAAGACAATCGTCGCCATTCTTTTCCATCTTACAACCATCAGAATTTTCCGAAAGAGAGCCTGTGCAGGCACAGCGTCGACTCAAAATTCCCGTCCATCGCTTGCGCCCATTTCAATCGCCTCGCCTATTCTCATTGTAGATATTTTTACGCGCAACGAATCTGGGGCACCGTTTGACCGTCATCAACCACCGTCGGTTGTCCGCCTTTACTCTCGTTATCTTCTTCCAACTCACACGCCATGAGGCTCCTGCCTCTGGCCCTTGTGCCTGGCGCACTCGCCATTTCACTCGATATCAATGATCCCAGCAGTGTGACGTCGGCTGCCTCGTCAGTGGCATTTGACATGATGACTTCCTACACCGGGAACCAAACGGGCCAAGTTCCTGGACTCTTACCCGGTGGTTTGAGCTGCGATCCCAACAACCCGGCAATCTATTGTTGGTGGGAGGCTGGCGCAATGTTTGGCTCGCTCATCCACTATTGGCAGTACACGAATGACTCCTCGTATAATCCTGTGGTGGCACAGGCGCTGCAATTCCAGCGTGGACCTGACAACAACTTCAACCCACCTAACCAATCGAAGAGTATGGGTGTCGACGATCAGGTTTTCTGGGCCTTTTCCGCCATGGATGCCGTTGAAGCAAACTTTCCAGAGTCCGATGAAGAAGACGCCCCGTCGTGGTTGTCGCTGGCTCAGGCCGTCTTCAACTACCAGAAGGCTTTGTGGGACACTAATACTTGCGGCGGCGGCTTCCACTGGCAGGTGTTCCAGTTCAACGCCGGGTGGAATTTGAAGAACGCTGTGTCTAACGGAGGGAATTTCCAACTGGCTGCACGACTCGCGTATGTGACGGGTAACTCAAGCTATGCCGACTGGGCGAACATGGTCTATGACTGGATGGAAACCAGCGCACTGATGCAAACGGATCCATCGAGCGGCATTCTCTACATTTGGGACAACACCGATTCAAACAACAACTGTACAGACCAGACCAGATATGTGTGGACCTATAACTACGGCACCCTTCTCGTGGGCTCCGCATACATGTACAACTTGACAAATGGTAGTTCCGTCTGGGAGGATCGAGTCAACACTATCTTAAACAGCACCTTCACATTGTTCTTCCCCTCACAATATGGGGGCAACATCTTGTCGGAAATTCAATGTGAATCGACTCTGGTGTGCGACCAGGATCAAAAGAGCTTCAAGGCATATTTGGCGAGATGGTTGGCTGTGACCAGTCTGCTCGTGCCGTCTACAGCCCCCCAGATTATTCCGAAACTCCAGGCCAGTGCGCAGGCAGCTGCAGGACAATGCGACGGTGGTGCCAACGGTCGTGAGTGCGGCATGCAGTGGTACACGAGCACTTGGGACGGCTCGACTGGCGTTGGACAGCAGGTATGACTTGCTAAACTTGACGATCTCTTTTCTGTTACTAATGTTCCCCTCCAGATGGCTGCATTGTCCGTTATTGGCAGTGTTTTGAACTCACAAGCTCTGATGCCCAAGTCCACAAGAACGGGCGCGACCTCGAAGAGTGACCCGAACGCCGGGTCCACGGCACCAACCAATCCTGCTGCCTTGCGTGACAACATCACGACGGGCGACAAGGCTGGGGCAGGGATCCTCACCCTCCTCATGGCAGCCCTTGTCATTGGTGCAGCAGTTTGGTTAGTAACATGATATCAAGAGGGTTTCTTGGGTACGGCGCCAGGACTGAGATGAGGGTCTCGGTGGGGATCTGTGCCATTCATGATCTATGTCTCTCTATTTATTAGAGTTTGGACACACAAATTTCACGGTCTGGGCTGCTTCCGGTGTGTTTGTATATTACTGGAAAGGGCAGGCACATAAAACGTCGCGAACCGATGCCATAGCATAGTTGATTCCAACATTGATGAAATTCAGGGCTTCGAATAGCCTCTCCCAGCTGGAAGAATCGCGTCAAACCCGCTGCTTTGGGATAGTTGCTGCGCTAGTACCTCATACTCTAGGGCGGCAAGCCTGTGTCTCGAATTGGGACGACTGCGGAGACGCAGTGCGCACTTGGGCAATGAAATAATTCTTCAGCAGCACATATTTATTTCGGTCAAGAAACAGAGGTTGCTCAATCACCCCCGCGTGTTTTCGATCTGGAATTAAAAATCCTGTCCCGATACAAGTACCTTTGATTTGCGTTGCGGCAGCCTCGACAAGATGGGTTACGCCTTCGATAAATGCAAGGAGAGGCCTGCGCACATTGACGAGATCCTGAACGGCCTCAACCGCTATAACCCTGAGACGACGACCACTTTCCAGGAATACGTCAACCAGCAGTGCGAGGAAAAGTTCTTTGACGCATACGCAAGTCTCGCTCTGCTCAAATTGTAAGGAGTCCCGTGTGCTGGCAGCTAGCCGCTCCCCTTTTAAAAAGCCCCGGCGATTTCACATGATGAAGAGAATTTTCATACCACGTTTCCTATTACCTGACTTGTCCCTCGGGAACTATGGAGAGTTGTATTATTAGCTCTATCTGATGCCATCTCATACTTTGGAGAGCCTCAAGTCAAACCGGTTTTGGTAATGCAGCGACCGACATGCTAACCTGGACTGTAATAGGTACCAATTCAATCCTCAACTCCTACACCCCGAGACTGCGACAAACATCCTTGTCAAAGCGCTGACCGTCTTCCCCTCACCATCTTTCTCCCTCTGCCTTGCGCTTCTCCCTCCCTCGACTATTCCCTACAGCCCTGGCAACACCTCGATCCCAACCACGGATCTCACTGAATCAATACAAAAGCTCACCCGACTAAACACCCTGCTCGAGTCCGCTCAGTACGAGGCATTTTGGTCTACGCTAGAGTCAGACGACCTTTACTCAGACCTCTACGCCGACGTCGTTGGATTCGAAGACTTGGTGAGAATACGTATCGCGGGAGAGGTGGGAAAGACCTTTCGACAAATCGACCTCAGTGTATTGAGCGGATGGCTGGATTTGAGAGGGGATGCGTTGACAAAGTTTGCCCAAACAGCCTGCGGCTGGAGGGTCAATGGACAACAGGTAGACATTCCAGCGAACGCAGAAAACGAAGCCAAGAGTGAGACAAAAGGTGAAAGGGTTGGAGTGGATATGTTTGGTCGAGTGTTTAGGAGAGGCTATGAGGCGCCCGCTTGAGACACAGCGAAGTTTTTGTTGACGACATTCGGGCCAGGAAATCACAGCACCTGGAGTTTTTTGGTCATCCAAATAGCTGTGGGTTATCGTGGCTTCCACAGGCTGCCCAGGAGCGATAAGGCTCTGGTAGCGTCCTGGTCGAGGCCGTCCTTCTGTCGAATGACGCTATGTTCGTCCAGGAGTTGACGAACGTCTCTTGTACTCAGTAACAGTCTCGACGGGCTTCTCAACCGTGGATGAAGTTCCATTTGCCTGGAGATGAAAAGGAGAATCATGATTAATGGTTGCAGAATACGGGAGTCCGTTGGCGCAATCACGAGTCCACTGACTAGAGTTGGCTCACGAAACAGAGTTGCCGTAGACTGCAATATTGCAGCAGCAATTCAAAAATACATTGATGTCGAATTCCAAGGACGCTTAGAACATCGCGTGCATCGCTCGCGTGTCAAAATCAACCCCGGGGGGTTTAACCCTAGGCCCCAGGCGAGAGACTAGTGGGCTATAGGGCTAAAGTATTCGCTAGTAGAGCAGCTTTAGCTAAATTCATGGGGCCAGTTGGGCGGCGAGGCGGAAGCTGCACCCAGTGGTGGAGTGCCAGCCAGTCTGGCCAAGTGACACTCTGACACTCACTCTAGCCTGAGGCAGCGATGACATCGCTCACCCCTTCAAAGGTCTTGGATCTGATTCACCTCGTCACCTTGCTGGCCCCCTCCTTCGAACAGCATGTGATCATCATCAATCACGTCCGGCATCTTACTCTTCATGTTTTCTGACTCTGTACACATCTCTTACTTCAAACGGACCATCATTCCAACATCTTGATAGTGCGAGAGCTCTGATGACGGCAAATTGACCTCCTGCATCTCCCGCCACTCCCTCGTCTTACTCACCACCACCATGATCGCACAGACACCGACCGCCTTGCTATTACTACACCTCCCCGATGAGGTCCTGATTAACATCTTCAGCTACCTCGATTTCCGAACCCTGTGCAACGCGACTCTAGTCTCCAAGCACTTTGACGACCTGGCGGAGCCCTTCCTGTATCACACAATTGAGGTGGTCAGTGGTCGTCAAGCCTCTGCCCTGTCAGCCAGTCTACATGCAAATCCCCGCCGCATCTCATGGATTCGCTCGCTGCTCGTCTCCACTAAGTTTGGGGAGGATAATGGCCTGAGCACATTGCCAACTTATATTTTCATGATGCGAAACCTCCAAGACCTGTGTCTCGAGACGCCCGACTGCAATGCGAAATTCCCCGAGGAGAGAGTAGGCTGGGTCAATCTGCAGGACCGGTATGAGCGCATCTTCGAGGCAGCTTCGGCGGCAATACCCAACAGTGTGGAGCGGGCCCTACCCAATCTGCGAAACTGTAGGTATTCTGGACCCGATCGTGTTCATCCTCCAGCTGATCACTATTTTAGGCACCTTACACTTCGTCGACGGTCTAAAGGAGATCTATTCTATGACCAAATACGCAATGCTCTTCTTGCACCCGAATCTGCGCTCGTTGACAATGTCGTGTGCGAGCACCGACTTTCCCGACCGACTGCTGCGACAATTCCAGGGTGACCCGGCACTCGTCAGATCGACGAACCTCGAACACCTACATCTCGAAGAATGCGATATCTTCTCGCCTACCTTGGAAATCCTGTTGAGTTTCCCTCGAGCATTGAAATCGCTCAAGATTAGTGAAGGCATCCGCTATGACGGCATGTTTACTAGGAACAGTCGCATGCACGGCAACGTATCACCCGGGACCTTTGTGGATGCCATAGCCAAGCACTGTACCCACTCGCTTGAGCACTTGTCTTTGAGCCTGGGATACTCGAGACCATCTCATCAGCCATTCAGCCATCCCGGCCAACATCTCAATCTATCAGCCTTCCGTGCTCTCAAGCAACTTGACCTCGATGTGCGGACAGTCAACCTGATCAGGGTACGAGCCGTGTGCGATCACGCCACGTGGCGCAGACTCCCGCCGAACCTCGAGACTCTCAAAGTGTTTGGTATTCCATTGGGCGATCGACCACCGTTTCACGCTCGGCGACGGGTTTGGTTTCCTTTCGAAACATGTATCGTGACCGACAAAGCGAAGCATGGAGTACAACTTCTCAGTAACTTGGTATATTCATATGAATATTACAGAGAAGACGACGAGCCTAGATTGACCGTGTCCGAGGATGGAGAAACGGAGGAACAAATCAACCAGGTTGTTCTCGCACAGCGTCTGATGGTCGAAAAATGCAGAGAACTGCAACCCGTTTTCCAAAAGGCCGGTGTGAGGCTTGAAATTGAAATGGTGGCTTTACCTAACGGATTCATCCCACCATATTTATTCACAGAGGACAAGCCAAAATACTTCACACTGTGGGAGTCGGCTGCGAGATGAACAACTGGAGACGGACCAATATTACTACAGTGCTCCTTGGCTCATCAAAACCCGAGCTGAAAATTTCTTGGTTGTTGATTAAACATCAAACTTGAGGTACCAGGCCTGAACAGAAAAGATCCAGATGTCAAAGTCCCCGAATCCGGGACGCAGAATAGACTGCCAATCAGGCACACAGCTCACTGATGCACTCTGACGTCGCAAACGAGCCTCGCTGACAAAGAAGATACGGATATCCAACAAGCGTGGCGGGTGTGGATGAGACCGGCGCGCCATTCGCCCGACTGGGCCACCGCGGCATCACGGTTATGTAAGATCAGTAACTGAAATGCGCCTCTCCCCTAAATCGCATGTGACATATACCTATTCAAGCGGCAAGGGTTGCAGGTCTACCAATCCGCTCAGTCCGAGGAAATCTAACAACCAAAGAGCCTGTGGGGTTCTAGATGGTTTAATCATGGTGTGAGGTGACTCATCCATCTCTGTCGCATTTGCTCGGCTGGTTTCTTCCGCAAGGGGCGCCAACTACTACTAGATTCAGCTACTGGGTACAGCAGCCTCGTCTGGTCCTCTACCACGATTACATTTTTCTCCTTACGGCAGTAGTGGTCGGGCCGCTACAACCAACGGCGACGCCAATGCTTCGAGTCTCAGTTGCTGACAATTCGGTATTGTATGGTGGAAATGCTTCAACCCTGGCTCGACTAATCATCCTGCCCAATACAAGAGCCCTGTTGCCCTGCAGGTTCTCCAGATGTCCACTTTTCCTACGGGCGCATCATAAGCTACACAACGTCGGTCAAATATCTGATTAAGCACAGGTATAGTATAGGGGTCTGCAACGCTAAAAGAAGGCCTGAAGTTGTACCATCCCAATAAGAAGGGAACCTGCTGCTGGTCTTTTCCAATCCGTTCATCTTCATCCCTGGTTCGACTTTCCTTGTTGCCCAAATCAATCCTCACGAGACGGAACTATCAACATGGCGAAAGCAATTCTGGATGCGATCCAAGACGCACCTTTGGGGCAAGCAATCAATTGGATAACCAAAGGCAGATTCTTTGCTTTTCCAGAACAAGACCCCGGCTTCTCCATCCCATGGGAACAGGCCACTGTGAATGAAAAAGAAAAGGAGATCGAGTCTACCCCAGATGTGGATGTCAGTCGCCACACCAGCCATACCACCGCTCCGCATCCTGTTTCTCGCGAACAGTCACATGCAAATCGTGAGGACATCGAAGCTCGAAACCTGAGTACTATTCCAACAGCCAACTCCGCTGCTCGAGGAGAGTTCACAGTTGTCACCACGCGGACGAGGACCAGAGAACAGACACTGCCATATTCTCGGGAACGATTCGAAGTTGAACAAGAAGAAGCCATCGAGCGTCGACAAAGCAGCGTTATCGCCCCTCAGCGAACCGCGGGCGGCATCATCCTGGTGGACTGGTATACCACTGATGATCCAGCAAACCCCCAGAATTGGGGAAGCTGGAAGAAAGTCTGGGTTTCCTTTCTCATCTTTATGTACACCTTTGCGGTGTACTCTGCCAGTGCTATCTACACCTCGGCTGAACCTCAGGTGATGGCAAAATTTGGCGTGGGACAGAGTAAAGCAAGCTTGGGACTGAGCATGTATGTCCTGGGGTATGGCTTTGGCCCGATGTAAGTTTGATCCTGCATGGCCCCTCCAACGCCTGTGTGTTGTTCACGACCCTCACATGGTTTGATTCAGGATCTTCTCCCCCCTCTCCGAGCTCCCAGCCATTGGGCGAAATATTCCCTACATCATCTCCTTCGGCCTCTTTGTGATCCTTTGCGTGCCTACCGCACTAGCAAATAGCTACGCATCTTTGCTTGTGCTGCGATTCCTGACCGGTTTCATGGGGAGCCCTTGTCTCGCTACCGGTGGCGCATCCATGGGCGACATGTACGGCCTCTTGAAACTTCCCTATGCTCTCACGGCATGGGTTGCTGCAGCATTTTGTGCGCCTGCGCTGGGGCCGCTTTTGTCGGGCTTTTCGGTTGTTGTAGAAGGCTGGCGCTGGGCATTGTGGGAAGTCCTTTGGATGTCGTCCCCAATCTTTGTCCTCATGTTTCTCTCTATGCCCGAAACCTCCGCCAACAACATCCTCTTGCGCCGCGCACAACGTCTCCGAAAACTGACGGGCAATCCGAACTTGAAGAGCCAAGGAGAGATCGACCAAGGAACCATGTCATTCTCCAAAGTCGCGATAGAGCAGATGTGGAAGCCCATTGAGATCTTCTTGAAAGATCCCGCAGTCTTCTTTACGAACGTCTACACAAGCCTGATATATGGTGAGTCCCTCCCTTACACTTTGCTGCCCATCCACGTGCAGAATGCACATTGTGACTAATGCGCTCGGAACAGGGATTTACTACTCCTTCTTCGAGGCTTTCCCCCTTGTCTATGTCGGGATGTACGGCTTCAACATCGGCGAACTCGGTGTTGTCTTTGTCTGCATCGTCGTCGGCTGCGCCATCGGGACTCTCATCTATGTGTCGTATGTGTACTTCTACCTCGAACCTGACATCAAGAAGAACGGCCTTCGTGCCCAAGAACACCGTCTTGTGCCAGCTCTTTTCGCCACCACGCTCTTGCCCGCAGGAATGTTTTGGTTCGGCTGGACATCAACGCCGCATATCCACTGGATCGTGTCCATTCTCGGCATCACGTTCTACGCCGTGGGCGCCTTCATACTCTTCCAGTGCATCTTCATGTACCTGCCACTCACCTACCCACAATATGCCGCCTCTCTCTTTGCAGCAAATGATCTATGCAGGTCTGCTCTGGCTGCCGGGAGCATCATCTACGCGCACCCACTGTACGTCAATCTGGGTATCGGTCGAGGCATTAGCGTGCTCGGCGGCCTACTCTGCGGCGGTGTTATCGGCATCTGGGCGCTCTGGTACTTTGGCGCGTCTCTGCGTGCGAGATCCAAATTTGCCATGAGCTAATCTACATGGAAAGAGATCCTTCTCAAGGATTGATTACGATGGCGTGAGTTGGTTTCATGGGGTCTCTGGAGCTGGGTATTTACCCTGTCGCCCTTTTACTTCCAACTTGAAGTGCCGCAAAGTACGGACTAGAGACGTGGATGGACAACCGGGATTCCACAAAAGGAGATGGCACCCCTTCTTCCTTTTCTTTCTCTTTACATTCGTTCGGCACGGACGGAGTTTCTATCGTCTCGTCACGTAATCTCAACACACCCCGGCTTGCCTTTCCTAGACCAGGACTTGATGATAATGATGTTGATAATGTATATCTCACTATGCTGGTGGGGACTTGTGAGAAAGGCTCAAGCAGGCAAGCAAGCAGGGGAATGGAGAGAGGCCACTTTTGAATTATACATACCACTTTAAGTAATACTTGGCATGGAGAGGGGGGAAGGCTTTCAAGGAGGGCGCGGAAATGACGAATGATAAATGACCAATGACACTACCTCATGAAAACACCTCGAGATCATGGAACCGGACATGTGGCATGCGTCAATCATGGAGGTGTAAGTTCGAGGAAAAAGGCTCCAGCAGAGGCCGATAGAATCTCCAGCTTAAATTCAATTTCAACTCATGCTGTCAATCATTTGGTAGCCATTGCTCAAAACTCGGTGGACTTTCTTCGCGGTCTTGGTGCTCTATTTATGCAACAGCCATCTCAACAGCCACCTCGTCTCTTTGCATGGTCCGCGCTTTCCTACTGGCCATAGCCTTCCGGCGAGCTGTCAATTCCGCATTGCGCCGGACCCTCTCCACCCACTTGACTTCGCGAGCAAGAAAATCCCTGACCTCGTCGTCTGCCGGCCAGCCCAGCTCGCGACAGTGCTCCCGTGCTTCCCAGACATCACGGCCATCACTTGGTAAAGGACTCTCAAACCTCATGCCACCATCTCCTCCACAGGAAGAATTCGCAGGACTCAATAAGCTACCATCGAGGAAGAGTCTGATGGCACAGAGTACATCACGGAGTGGAGACGGGGTTAGGTGCGCTGTGTTCCGAGACTCGGATTCGGGGGCAATGTTCTCTGTCCCAAACACCATGGCATGCTCATTGACCCATCTCAAAAGCACAAGCAAGCCACGGATGTCATGAACAGACACTAGGATGCTGATCATGAGTTTGAGATCCTTCAAGTCAGGTACGACAAGGAGCGTACGGTCACGCCCAGGAAGAAAGGCTGTCATGCGACCATAGATTGCTCGAGCGAACGTCGACTTTGAAAGGGAGCCAAGATTTTGTGGTGGGATGCGCATGTTCACGTCCCTCAACATCATGTTCAGCGTCTTTGTCAAATGGCGGAAGGTGTCGAGGTCAGGATGGATGTCAAGACTCTTCTCCTCAGGGGAAAGAATCCTTCTCAAGCGGCGCCACACAGCTGCTCTAGCTGCGGCACCTTTGTAACTTGCCGGTGATTTTCCGATGCTCACCGAAGCCCCTTCTACAAAGGCGTTCCAGACGCGAATGTCTGTGATGCCTGCAGCGAACAGCAGTTGCGACGCGTATGTCAAAGCAGGCACATCTTGATGATTTCTCTTGATCAATTGGTCCGTAACAAAGTCCATCCTTCCAATGTCACGAAATATTAGTGAATCATTGGGTCCGCTCTTGCATATAAGCGCAATGAAGGCAGCCAAAGTGGACTTGGGGATTTTGTTCAAACTGTCCCGAATAACGGAAGCTGGGTATTTCTCTGCGTGGCGGAGCACGTCTTTTGTGACTTCATCCCATCGGCTAGCTTGAACGTACCCAAATCCAGTTTCAAGCTTCACGGAGTGGTTCAAAAGGCTGGCAAGAAGATGACCAGCTGGTTTCACCCCGGCCCGCAGCATGTGCTCATAGAATTCATCCACCGAGGGAACCTCAGTCTCAACATAAATGACCTCTCGGGGATTTTCCGAGACTTCAAACGGTTCTTTGACATCGCCTGCGAGGTATTTCCAGCCTAGCGTAGAATCTGGCTGAATACTTGAATTGATGAGTTTCTCCAGCATCGCAAAATATGGTTGATAGTGCGTTTGGGAGGCGGGTTTGGATTTCTCGTAGGAACAAAAGGATGCCCATGCCTCTCGCTTTGTCCTTGTGGCTCGAATGCGCGCCGCCCAAAGTTCCGGTGGGTCGCTGGTTTCAATTTCTTCCTGCTTCCCAAAGCCCTGTAACAGAAGCCACGGCCGTCGTTGGCGCATCAGTATGGCGCGAGTTTGAATTGTAGGGCTTCTGTCCGTATCCCACCCTGCGAGAACAGCAGCGCTCCTTTCCCAGTCGCCATGAGAGTACCCTGCTGTTTTCATTCGTTGCAATAGTTTGATAACACGGCTCTCCTTCCCAGGATATTCGAGATCCTGTTCAATTCCTGACTTGATATGACGCCAAGGGGGCCAAGATAGAGACTTAGCCTCAGCCCAGGCACGTTCCTGCCCCGTTTTAGGATGCAGTAGTTGGACTGCAATCAAAGCGCGATAGCCCTCACGCGTCAGTAGCAGCTGCGGGGAGAACTCGAACATTTGACGGACGAGTGAGAGCTGCGCATTTTGCTGTGAAAGATATGCATTGTATGGTGTTTTGTAGGGAGCCAGAGATATTAATGATAAGAAGCGATTGTAGATGTGGGAAAGGCGCAACAACTCCGGACCCTCGAGTGAACGAGGATGGACACTGTAGTAGTCCGAGAAAAGGTGCTTAATGACAACACTGATATCCTCGAAGCACTCGGGGGCCACTGACCGAGTATGTCGCAGTAACCGAACAACTAGGCACACTCTTGTAACCCAAGACCAGCCAAGATACTCCTTGGCTTCCAAACAGATTTGTAAATCGGCTAAAATACTTTTTATGAATCCCTTCAGGGCAAAAGGACTGATGTTTTCCGCGCGAAGGAGTTGTAAGAACACGAACTTCGGTATCCGACCTTGTCCAGATTCACGTACTTTTTGGGCCAGGATCAGGTACCTCGTAAAGGCAAGGTCAACGTTGTCCGATGAGAAAATCCACGCCCAAGTTGCGATATCAGTAATGTCGTAGCCGAGATTCTCCAGAGTTCTCAACGACTCATGAGGAAAAGTAGTTCCTAAAGCAGACAAGACCTTCTCGTCGTCCTGAGCGTCATGCAAAAGGGGGGCGATGTTCTGAAGGTAATCGAGGAGAAGTTTGCGTAGAAAGGTTGAGCTTCTGAATGTCGTGGTAGCTTGTTCGCCCACCTTCCGGCTGCTCATCTGCCAGTGGAGGACATTGGTATAGGACAGGTCAACCCTGTTCCGTCTGGGATGAGAGGGAAGGAACAAGGATAAAATTCGATCGAATCGTCTGCGAAGCGGTGACCAGCGTTGTGAATGATCCGTTTGAGGTTGGGACGTGCGACTGTTATCCGCCTCTATGTCTTCTGTGTGACTCTCTGCCGCCTTTTGAGGATTCTGGCGGCTGCTGGAACAGCTCCCGCCATCTTGTCTGATGTACTCGGAAAACTCGGAGAATTCTGTAGGGAACAGCGCTTGTTGGTGAGCTAGAAAATCCGATACAACCGGCGTTGGAGTATCAGACTTTGTGCCTGCGGCCCGACTTCCGTAATGTCGGGTTTGGAAATGATATCGGGCAGCTCTGGTGCGAAACTGTAGGTGCAGGAAAGAGAAGGCAAGAGGCCTTCCGGTCGGAAGACGAACACGGTGGACGCTGAGCATCCATTGATGCTTCAGCGGAGAAGCAATTGAGAACCTCAAAAAGAGAAGAGCTACGCGTGATAGACGTGGATTAAGATGCCGAAGCGAGCATCATTCCTATTCAAATTCGATCAAGAGTTGAAAGGCGAGCTGTACTCGGTACAGCGAAGATCAAAGCGAAGGCACGCAGGCGCGCCAAGCCAACGGCCAACTGCGGCTGTCAGTCGATCGCAGTCAAACTGCATCGACTTCAGATTCGGAGCGTCCGCAGCGAAAAAAAAACACAGTCAGGTAGATTCATCTCGCGATCCACAGCCAAGCAGCTCCTGGTGGCTTACTCCATTGCACCCGGCCGAACTCGGTTTACCATTCCTCTCGTTGCGTTCCTGTACCAGTCATCCTGCAAGTCCGCAGCGCGTGTGGACAACCCCCTCATCACTCCCTTTTCTTCTGCCAGTGTCGAGACTATTACACCAGCCAACCTGTTACAAAACAAAAAAATCGCGCGTTGTTTGTACACATCAAGGGTCTGAACCATGTTAAGAGACTAATATCGCGATATACATCGAAATTGCATGTGGTTGGGTTAGTCCACTCCGGCTTGTCGCCCGCCAACAGCATCACAACGGGGCTCCTCAAATTCATCACGACGTTTTCCCAGTATGGCCGAAGTCAACGGCATCGCAAAGCACGAAGATACCAGTACGGTTTCCGCATCACACCTGGGTAAGCGGAAGCGCACGGTTTCCCCCGAAGTTGCGCCAAAAGACACTGCTCTACAATCGACCCTACAAGATGTCCTGCGAGTTCTTCGCAAGTACGTTTAGCTGTTCCACGTATGTGACAGACCACTAATACGCGGTATAGACATGACACCACTCCGTCGCTTCTCAAATACCCTTTGTCTTCATCGAAGTCCGGAGCACCTGACATCAAACGGGCCCGCCTTGTCAAGTCAGAATCCGCCAACGATACTATCGAGGATCGCATTTTGACGGGCTCATATGACTCTTTCCGCGCCCTGAAAGAAGATATCCGAAGTGTTCAAGATGCCCTGATCACCGACATATCTGCTACAACACAGAATGGCAACGTCGAAACCGATGTCCAAGGGCAATTATCAACGCTAATAAATGTGCTCGACAAGTATGAAACTGAGTCTTCAGAAGTCGCCAAAATCAAAAGTGAAGACTTCCCGGGGGCGGACTTGATCAGCTCAAATTCTAAACAGTTCCTCTCTCTGCGCAGCCAAGTCAATGGTGGTGTCCAGATTCTCTTCTCGGGCCTCCAGGTTCCTCAACAACCCGGAAATGACTGTGCAGCTGTTATACCCGAGACTGAATGCTCAAGGCTACCTAACGGATTCGAACTTACAGACTTCTCGTCATTGGGTGGAGATCAAGATGCAACGAAGAAGCAAGAAAGGAGGTCGTTCGGGACAGTCTTTCGTCCGATCGGCCGAGTCAAGCCTCTAGATCTGCCGCACACGGCAAGGGACGTGGCGAGAGGCAACAATCTGGAATTCATTCCAAACTCTAGCCGGACAGAGAATCTACCCCAGAACAAGCACGACTACAAGTTTGCGAGATTGGCTACGAGTTCATGGCTCTCATATTCTACCACAAGTACCCAATCACAGCAGGATAGGAGGAAGGTACAGCCGACGTCCAGAAACAATGATTTCAAAGCAGCCCTCGAGGCCAACAGCGTGCGACATGGTCATGACCTGACTGCAGATGAATTGTTCAGCTCTGTCTATTGCTCCTTCGCGCCAACCTCAGACAATGCATATTCTCTTGTCTCTGCCAAAGACAAAAGTCGGCAATGGTGGCAACATCACGGCGAGCAAAAGCTGTCAAGGCTTTTCAGGACAAGGGACACGGTAACATCACTTGTTGATGGACAAAATGGAGGAACAGAAGACAAAGACGAGTTCGCCGAGTTGGTCGCGAACTTCAAGCCTGAAGAAGACGAGGCAGAAGAAGCCCAACCTGAAGCCTCAGAAAAGGATGTTGAGAAACTTCTGGGAGAGGTTTCCGAAATGATTGAAACACTCAGCTCCTATCAGAGGAACCGCAGCCTTGAGACCATTGTGTCTGGCGCCGTACCGAAGCCAACACACCCGGAAATCGACACCTTTGAGATGCTGAGAGACCAACTGAACATCTTAGTCTCGTCATTGCCTCCTTTTGCCGTCGCCAAACTCAACGGCGATCAACTCGAAGAGTTGAACATCTCCACAAGACTTGTTGTCGAAGTGCCAGACTATCCGGGGACAGGACAAATAGATGACTACATGACGCGTCGACAAAAGATAGCCCACCAAAACACAACGGCAGTAAACCGTACGACGGGGACACCTCAACAAGTTCGCCCGAACTATTCTCAAACACAGGGGACTCCGATAGCATACAACACCCAAGTTCGAAACTACAATGCTTCTGTGCCCGCCACTGCAGCTTACGGCATTCGAGCACAACAGAGTTATCAAACCCCCACCATTGCGCGACCAGCCTATCAGCAAAATGCATATCAAGCTTCGGCAACCCCTTACTCATCGTCTCGACCCACGATACAACAGTTTCAGCGACCCTCCATGCAGAATGGTTATGGAAGTTATGGCAGCAACGCGTCAGCGCCGACCCAGACACAGCCGCAAACCCCGGGCGGGTATCGACCGACTCAACCCGGATATCAACAACGGGCACAAGACAATGCTGCCACACTGGCGCGATCTGCCTCACCGCAGAAGCCAATAATCAATGGTGTTCCGGGGCAAGGACACCAATACCCGCGTCGGCCATATCAGACTCCGCAAAGTCAGCAACCACAGACACCGTACACTTATCAGCAGAGGCAGGTTTCTGGGACCCCCAGCACACCGATAGCAGCTGCAGCTGCAACAATTCGGGGTCCATACGATGGCAGATACGACGGTGCAACGGATCGGAGCAGCAATGCTCCGGGCGATAGTTCCTCTCAGACTATAGAGGTTTCTCGGTAAACAGGATAGGCGCAAAAGGTACGGGCTGGGACAAAACAAAGGAAAGGTGCAAGGAACTTGGTTCAAATCCTTGCGTCTTGTGTACTATTATCCCTGGCGGTAACAACATGTTCGGTTCTTCGATTCTTGGAGACATGCCTGCGTTTAATCTCGTTAAAAGAGAGGTGGTGATGAGAATGAAATGGGACTGTCTATACCAGACCCGGGGGGGAGGGGGGGGAGCAGAAAAATCGCCGATTTTAATGCAGTGGAGGTTTGCTATACCAATAATGAATTGATCATTGAATATTGCATTCCTTTTTTCTCCGCTCCCACGTCAACCTGGCCTTTTAGTTCTCCCTTGATCTTTGAGGCACCTCACTAGCCGTCCCAAGAAGACTACAAAACTTGGTAATCGTCACTCCGCGAGGACAGATGAGGTTGCCTATCGAGTGACGAACGGGACGTTTCCTTGGAACTGCACACTGGGCTGTCCGGCGTATGCCTTCAGCATCTGGGTTCCAATCGTCGAGTCGATGGATGTTGCATAAAGGTCAACGAGAGGTGGGAATAGAGGGCAGGGGGCCTGCAGGAGCGGTTCGCGAAGACCTAGGGAAGGCGTCAAATGTTTCGAGCCGGTGAGGCCACAAGTAGTCAGGCTTGAGATCTGCGAGCAAGGCATCCCCTGGCTGCGAAGTAAAGGATTCGTCCGTGTTAAGTTGGCAAGTTCTTTGGTTCTTGCCTTGTGGTGGTGGTAGGCCCACTAGGTCATTAGGTGGTGAACCCCTGGTGGCCCCAAAGGTGGCCATGCCGCAGGACGATGATGTCGTCCAAGGCGGGAGAATGAATCCACCCTCTACGTAGGCACGGCTGTGTCAGAGGTAATCAGGTTGTCAGGGCAAAAATTCCATGTAACGAATTTCTGCCTTGTCTATTATTGCCGCACACCACTTGAGTATATGAGAACGGCCCATTGTCCGCTCTCAACTGACTACCCGCTTGCTACTACCCAGCATTGTCTTTCCTCAATCCAGCTCAGAACACATCAAGCCATCCCCTTTTCGTCCCCCGTGCCTCAGCAAGCATTTGTTCCACAAGACTCGACGCAGAGACTCCCAACAGCAATCCCCTGGGTGGCACACATCCTACGTACAGGCACCACAGGCACAGCCGTAACCCAATTTCGGCTCCAAATATGTGCTTCGGTGGCGGTGACAGAGATGAAGCTGTGATCATCAGACGACATGAGCGATCACGACCTCGCTACTCTCGAGAATATGTGTCAAGGCCAGAGGTTGCCACCTACAGGCGAGAAAATCGCCGAGAAACGGTCACCAGACGATCAACCTCTGCCCACCGACCCAGCCACGACCACTATTCCGAACGTCATTCCGACTACTCCTACGATCCACGGCGACGCAGCGGGAGCAGGACACGGATTGTCACTGAACAGAGGAGGGAGAGAGACCGCACTTATTACTGATGTGCCACCAAAAGCAGCTTGAGGTCTGTACCCGCGGGATGAAGTGTATGATATCATTACGGCGGCATCGTGAGGCTGGGCTTTTGGAGACAGTGACTGCACAGTCAGTGCAAATAATGGACACGTTGGAGATATATTTTTGGCTAAGATAATTTAATTTGGTGTCACGATGATCCCCTGCCTTTGTTGCTCATGTTGACGATCAAGTGGGTGTCGAGATAACCGGATTGAACGACAAGCTGGCGAAGCAAAGATGGCCTAGCAAGGTTCGCCATACGCAACGAGCTGCAAATGAGGTGGGGGAATACTGAATGCTTGACATCGTACCATCCAAGTGTGCCAAGGCACCCCTCCAAGCTTCAGAGTGCAATACGTCATCCGCCCTCTTCCTGCCCTTTGGCGCATTCCTGCACTCTGCTGTATCGGGCCTCGAGGGGTTCTTGTTACACCCGCACCCAGTTTGTCTCGACGACCTTCAGTCCGTCTTCTCCAACCTATAGCGCATACTTGTAGCTCCTCCAAGCTTGCCCGCCCTACATCGCATGTTATCAACGCTCACATACCGCAGAATTTGAACCCTCCAAGCAGGTACCCAATCACTTCCGCCATGAATCGAGCTCTATCCATCCGGTCCCGCAAGAAGGACGACCATGCTAAGGAGGCCTCCAAACACACCTTTTCCATCTCGACCCTCCGCGGCATGCACCAGGCTGAACTCTCCAAGAAACTCTTCAAGCTGATCAAAACCGAGAACCACTGCATCGAAGCCTATGAAACTGCCGGCCGCGAGCGCCTCTCCATTGCCTCCCAGCTTTCCGACTGGGGCGAAGCTACCAACGACGATGCCGTCTCGGACATTTCGGACAAGATTGGGGTCATTATGTCGGAAATAGGAGAGCAGGAGGATTTGTTTGCTCAGAATCTCGAGGACTACCGATCTATCCTGAAGCAGATCAGAAACATCGAGGCCAGTGTGCAGCCAAGTCGGGACCAGAAGGTCAAGATTAGCGATGAAATCCAAAAACTCAAGTACAAGGAACCGTCTAGCCCGAAGCTGGTCACACTCGAGCAAGAACTCGTGCGAGCAGAAGCTCAGAACCTGGTCGCAGAGGCTCAACTTACCAATATCGTAAGAAACCCCAAGCTCACGAAGACCACCCTAGCGAGTCGCGGTCTTTACTAATATATCCAATACAGACCCGCCAAAAGGTCAAGGAAGCATATGATCTACATTTCGCGGCCACGATCGAGCGTGCAGAGAAACAGATCATCCTGGCCAAGTACGGCCGACGCCTCTTGAATCTGTTAGACGACACCCCAGTGGTGCCGGGAGATGTGCGCCAGCCCTTTGCCCAAGCCGGCGAGGCGAGACAGGTTCTTGCGGATGCAGAGCAAGAGCTGCAAAGATGGGAGCCTCATCTTGAACCAATACACTCCAACGCCGGAGGTTTAGGAACGAATCTGATGCCCATGGACGACCGCAGCACCCGAGCCACATCGGAGGTTCCTGATCCAGTCGCAGATCCTGTGCCGACGGAGAAGCCGGCGGCAGAGGCCCAGGGAACGCATTTGGAGCAAGCAACCGCTTAGAAAGTGGAGAGGTGGAGCGAGGAGCAGAGGAAGGAGAGGGAAAAGTTGGGCATCAGGAAATAGCAGGGAATGGGATTGATGCAATGTGCCTTTTTTTTGTTCTGCTTTTCGAGGTTCTCCTTTTTGATCGCATGCATGATGTTTCATGATGTTGTCGTCTTTGGCAGTCAGCCCGGTTTGTTGGAGCAGCTCTAGAAATGAGGTGGAGGTGAACAGTTCTGTTTTTGGTAGCAACTCCAGAATTTCGACGGCCTTGGTGTCCCTTATTGTATTTCACGTCCGGGTGTGCATGTGTTTGGCATGAGTATCTCGGAGTATCTTTCCCCATTGATGCAGTATCACCGGAAGAAGGATCAGCCTTGTCACTCTGCACCACCCTCGTCACCATCGTCTTAAGGCTGATTGACGTAGACGGTACTCGTAGGGGTGCATGCCCGTGAAGCAGAAGAGGGCGATCCTGCTCGGCGGCGCCGCAGGAAGATGGGAAATGCAACGCGGAGGGGTGGCTGGCCTAGCCATTGGAGGGAAATAGCCAGGAGGCCCATAAGCGACGCAGTGGACCTTGTCGGGGCGCCAGTAACTAGGCTCTCAGGCCTCACTAGACCGCGCAACCGCCTAACCGAGGCTCGCTTCGATCTTTCGTGTCGCCCAAGTAGTGCTGACATTGACTTGTCGTGATTTGCGCTGACTGATAGGACAACTTTCCCACCAAGAATTGTGCCCTCTTCACAAATGCTCACCTTGTTTCAGAGTTCCCAAGAGGAGCCCCTCCGATGGCGGGCGGAGCGAGCGAGAAACCGTCATCTAGTCGTTGTTTGGTACCATGCTCACTTCTGACTGTCGCGCCGGGGCTGATGATTCATGGACACAGGACGGGACTTCCACCAGTCGAGATGCTGAGTTGAGATCTCGGCTGTTGAAAGGATCCTTCCACTCGACGGAACCCTGAAGCACTCTATCAAGATATAAAGATTTTTGCCTGCTACCAAGTGGACTGGTGACTACCTCATCTATGGTCAACTTCTGGCCAATGTTCACCAATGTCACCTCGACTTGCACACCTCTGATCCATCCCTGAATCGGCTATTTGCCACCGCATCTCGAAACCTCGTTAACCTTTCCTCTTTAACACTTCTCAGACAAACTCCGCCTCGAACTTCGTTTATTTTGATCACCACCCTCTCTGTTCCTTTGGAGGAGTGGTCCTTATATTTCCTCTGCTTGCCCAGAAAATATCATCTCAAAGCCCGGTCAATCCTCGTCCAGCAGACACGCCTGTGACAAGATGTGGCCGATACTTGGCCTTGGGTTGGCTGCTTACCTTCTGTACAGCGTGGTCAACTCATTGATCCGCTTCCGCCGCAACGTGAACAAGGCGAAACAATCCGGCATCCCGTATGTCGTTGTTCCGGTATACTATCTCAGCACCTGGTGGCTCATCAGCCACCCATTATGGCTGCCATTTCTTGCCAGGCTCCCCAGCAGCTGGACCAAATGGGTCGACTTCTGTGTCCCAGATTTCTATTACCGGCGCAGTATCGAGGTCTTCCAGCAGGTCGGTTCCGATACCTTTCTTGTAGTCGGACCTGGAGGTATCATGATGCACACTGCCGATCCCGCCGTCATCAGCCAGATCACCACCAGGAGGAATGATTTTCCCAAGCCCACACCTATTTACCGGTCCCTCGACATCTACGGTAAAAATGTCGTGTCAACCGAGGGCGCGGTCTGGCGACAGCACCGCAAAGCCACCAGCCCGCCCTTTACGGAGAAGAACAACCACCTCGTCTGGGCGGAGAGCATCGACCAAGCTTCAGACATGCTGGCTTCGTGGGTTGGACCAGAAGGAAAAGGCGACATCACGGTTGATCGGGTCATGGATGATACCATGCGCCTGAGCCTCTATGTTATTAGCAGAGCCGGTTTTGGGAGGAAATTGGAATGGCCT